CTTACAGAAGCATTAACTTCCAGCCCTCTCCAGAGTGCAGAGCCCTACAAATTTAATGCGTCTTAGTTATCCCAAAGGAAGGACAGGCTTGCCAGCATGCCTGCCTTTCTTAGCAGAGATAAAAGAACTAGGGACCTCATTGTTCTCTCCTCATCATGCAATCCTTTCCTTTTACTATTCTAACCTGTTTCTCATGTTGCCTCATGAAAAACTGAAGATTTTCTAAACTTACATAGTTTGTATCTGGAAGGTACTTTCCAGAGAAGTTGTCAGTTCCTCTCTTTCCTGGAAATCCAGACTGTTCTTAATTCTTGAAATTCAAAGCATTAGGAAGAATATAGATTTATATGATTGGTGTGAAGATGGAACACCTAACCCATTCCAAAAATAAGCAATAAAAAAAATAAGCAGTAAAACAAACTTCAACTATATCAATTTTTCAAAAGAAAGTACCTTCTGATTTTAAAATGAAAGACAATTATCATAAAATAAATACTATAATGAAAATATTTTATGTTATATTAACTTAAAATATTTATTCTATGTTATGACAGATTATGGAAAAATAATACATCAGAAAGAACATATAATGCACAAGTGAAAGAACACACCCACATGTCCACGCAAGGCACACACACACACACACACACACACACACACACATCCATAAAGGATACAGAGACTTAGAAAAGCAATAGAAAAAGAGACTGTGACAGGTGTATCAAGAGACACACTTTGAAATAACATCATTATCTTATTATTTGATTTCATTCTGCCTTAAGGGTAGCTACCCTCAGGTAACTACTAACATAACTACAGACATCAGTCATCTTTTAAAAGATATGATCTTAAGGATCCCCAAACTCAAAGTGTTATACCCAGACTCATTGATCAATCAGAGCCTTACTGAAAGAGTGACACGTCGACATGATGTGTCTCTGGATGCGATGTGAGGACACAAAACCACCTATGAAGTATGTTGCTACAAAGTTAAGCTTGATCTTGGACTGAAAGTGGAGAAAATACAAGATGAACAGAATAAATTAAATCTTACCACAAGAAAAAAGATAGAGACAGAATGTAGGAATTAGTTTAGGAGGAAGTTTTTTTAATAAAGGAACTATTGCAGATTACAAAATTTAAAAGACATGCTAGTGAAATACAATATGTATAGAATATTTGGATACTGATTATAATCACAATCACAAATCACAAACCATCCTGTTATTCGTCGATTGCCTCGAGCAGGCCCCAGTAATGTCTCCTTCATCCTAGCCCTGAGATTATATTCAAGGCTCTTTAGGAGAATGAGACCCATCATTGTTACTGGTATTTGGCATATTGGGTACGCCAAGGGGAGTTTGCCAGACTCTGCCCTGTGGGCAGGCTACATTCGGTAACCTGCCAGTTTGTCCAAAGTAGGAATGAGATAATAAGATGTCGCATTCACGGCCGCGCGGTTTCGGGAGCTGGTTTTTATAGTCTCTGAGTCTTGGACGCTGATGAGATTACACAGCGCCAGGGGGCCAGTTGGTGGGTGTGACCCCCGCCTAGTGGAATTTGGAGGATCTGGGTGGAGGATGCTCGGCCCAAATCCGAGTAGGCTTGGAGATCTCGGCCCGGAACCCGCGTGACTTTGTCCCTCTGCCAGTACCTTCATGTGTCCGCACTGATTATAATAAACTCACTTTAATGAGAATTTTTTATACAATTGATAAAACGTGAATATGAAATGCTCCGGGGACTTTAATAAATTATTGTGCATTGAGATAAATATACTCATGATAGGTTTTATTTTTTGTTTTAAAAAAATTCTTATCATGTGAGCAAGGATTCTTGTCTTCAGCACTTTTTCATCCAGATCAGATTTTTATTCATGAGCATTGAGGATATTTAGTGTCATCTTTGGCCTCTTTTTGCTAGATGACAGTTGCATCCATCTCTTGTCAAATTGTCAAGACCAATTAAGAAATATTCCAGCATTCAGAACCAGGGGTAGGGTAGGGAAGTGATAGAATTTATGCTTCACATGTGAGACCCTGGGTTCAGTCCCAGGCATCAGAAGGAATTAAATGGTACTGAGTTAGATATAGAATAAAGATATTCAGTTGATTAACATGACATAATGTCTATGACTCTTTTAAATAATCTAGCCATAAAGTTTTGTTTCATAAATAAAAAGTTGATTAATAGTTTTATTTTAATTGAAGCTGGATGGTGAGTACAAAGTCATTTATAATACCACCTTCTGTACTTCTGTATATGCATTTAATTATTTTAAAGCTACCCTCTTAATAAAACCTAATAAAGATTGGCAATAGTCACTGAAAAGCTCCCAGACCCATATTTCCTAATGCTTTTAGAATTCCTGCCTGACATCGTAGGAGTAAATCAGCCTATTTCACTGCTTTACCTATTATTTTTTTGTTAATTCTCCCAAACAGAAAATGCTGGCCATAAACACAGCTAACATTAAAGATAAATGTAGTCGATAGCTAAAAGCTATGCCCAAACCCCAATAGTGAACCCCAGTTATCCTTGTTGCCTTATTCCCATTTTAGAAGGAATTCACTAGTTGGGGAGCTAAAGAAGCGTCAAGATCTTGAAATTCTGCTCTAACTAAAAGATTGTATAAAACTATTAAAAAGTACACTATTCCAATCTCACACCTTTATTTTTTTCCGCTTAAATTCCTATTAAAAATGTGATGGGGGCTAGAGCAATAGCACAGCGGGTAGAGTGTTTGCCTTGCAAGCAGCCAACCCAGGTTCGATTCCCAGCATCCCATATGGTCCTCCGAGCACCACCAGCAGTAATTTCTGAGTGCTGAGGCAAGAGTAATCCCTGTGCATCTCCGGGTGTGACCCAAAAAGAAAAAAAAAGTGATGGAATGAAAGATAGAAAATGGGTCTGTGTGTGTTTTTCAGAATGCAGAGAAACAGGAAAGTATATAAATGTTACAGGAAGATTGGAGAATGGAAAGACTCTATCGCTAAAATGTGCAGAAAAGAGGGAACAATATACGTGGAGAGAATGACTTCCAAAAGTTCAAAAGGGAATGTTGGAAATTTTCTTTACCTCACTCAAATTATGACTGAAAAGTCCGTTCTGGGTCATAGTAAGAATCATTTAACTGAGTTAATCTAATGGAGATATGAAATTACTATAAAACATAGTCTCTACTTGTGTGTTGCTTATCATTTAGTTGGAGGGAGAAAATTTACCGGTGTGCAACAATCAGAGCATAGTTAATTGTGAAGTAGAATTACCTCCACATGGGGTATAACTGATAGTCTAAGAGTAGCTATTATCGGGATGAGAAAGCACTGTGTCTGAGGTAGGCATCTTCACAGAGGAGGAAAATTTTCAATTAAACCAAAAACATGAATGATGTTTGGAACAAGTAATATTTTTCATTTAGGAGACGGGGTGAGAGCGAAAGTATTCAGCAGGCTAGTTAGAAGTTAGTCTTGCAAGTGGCCAACCCAGATCCACTGCCCAGCACAATAGTTCCTGAACATCACCAAGAATGGTCCCTGAGTTAGGAGTAATTCATAATCACTGCTGGGTGTAGTCCAAACTCCAAAAAAGAGGTAGTATTTATTAAGTGTCAGCTACGTGACTAACACTGCAAGGAGGTTGGTATTGTAAGATGCATATGCCAGTACCTCCATCTTCCAAAATATTCCTTTTTGGTATAAAATCAGGAATTGCAGAAAATGTCCATTAAGAAAGAAAGATGATAAGAAATTGGTTTCTGGATTATGGGAGCTGTCAAGTCCTGAATGTTCAAGGAGTACTGGACTCAGAGAGCAACCCAGAGAAGAAGGGGTAATGCAGTCATGTGTCCAAAGGCAGTCTGGAGGCAGAATAACTTGAAGAAACAGTCTTCTCATAAGGTCCTCAACAGATTTAATAAGTCCTGGCCACAGGACTTCCTTATTAGGAAGGAAATTTGCTTTACTCAAAGATAGTTATTTAAATGTTAATCTCATATGAAAGTGTCACTTTCAGTGATATTTGGACTAATTTTTAGATTTTTATTTTAGTCACACTGATTTTTAATACTTTTAAAATTAGGATTTTATGCATGCAACACCTTACCCTCTACCAGAGTGTCCATTACCCTCCATAATGTCTCAGGAGCTCATCTTGAAGCTCCCCGGCTGCCATTTTCCCCAGAATAAGCTCAGTTCCGTAGACCAGTTCACATATTCTGCTGCTTTGAACCATTTATTATTTCCTTACCATGCTGTTCAAATACTAACATATGAATGAGGTGATTTTTTATGTGTCCCTCTATTCCACATTTAGACTAATTTTTGACCAAATACATGGGTATTATAGCCTAGTCAAGTTGACACATAAAATTGACCATCACAGGATAGATTGCGTATAAAGAACAGGTCAAATGCTAGATTGTATGAGAACCAAGCAGGGATAATTCTTGAGCTGCTATCAAACAGAACACTGTAGGAAGATGATGCTAGGGATGTATTAAGAAGTTTGGAGGGGCTGGAGAGATAGCACAGCGGGTAGGGCATTTGCCTTGCACGCAGCCGACCCGGGTTCGATTCCCAGCATCCCATATGGTCCCCTGAGCACTGCCAGGAGTAACTCCTGGGTGCAGAGCCAGGAGTAACCCCTGTGCATCGCCAGGTGTGACCCAAAAAGAAAAAAAAAGAAGTTTGGAGATAAACTACTATCCTATCATCTTTACCCTGAGATCACCAAGCTAACCAACCATTACATCCCTCCTCAATGGTTATGTGATAGACACATCTCTCCCAGGAAACTAATCCTATACTCAGTTTATACCTGAATACTACACCTGAAAAGCAGGAAAGACAGGTTTTAAGCTTTCTTATTGCTATAGCAATATGAATAAATAGTCTATGGTATAGAAACTTTTTGAATTTTTGAAAAGCCTAAGTGATTGAAGTGGATATTTAGTTTTCAGTGTCCAAGTTCCTTCAGGCAATTCCTATTTTCTGTTTTAGGTCGAAGTAAATAATGATCTGAAATATACTGCTGCTGATCTTGACTTAGAAGCAAGGCATCGTCAACAGAACCTCTTTGCATCAACCAGGTATCACATCTCACCTCTTCCAGAGAGAATGAACTACACCTCCCTGATTTCCCATGAATAATGGAACTCTTCAAACTCTTCAAACTCTACATACACAGCCTATGTTTTGTTATCATTATTAACTAGATGAGTTGTGTCTGATTGGGTATTTTTAAGACATTGTGTTCTTATATGAATATTTGTAAATTATTTTTAATTTTATTACATTAATGTTAGGCATGCAAAAATGAAAAAATCCTGTGAAAATCTACAGTTAATTGTAAGAGAAATATTGGTGTGTATGACTGAGATCTGAAGTGAGAATAGCTCACTGGTGCAATTGTTCTAGGCCTGACAGAGTTTGAACTTGCAGATATTAACAATGTTATTAGACATGGAAATTAGATACTGTGATAGCTTATAAATAAGTACAAAGAAAAGATCAGCTTTCAGACTAAATGTAGACTTTTTTTAATACCACACAATAAAATCATGGGGTCTCCCTTTGCTCTTGATTTTCTAAAACCCAGGTTAATATGATCGCCTGAATTTCCAACTGATACTAGATGTCTTATCCTTCCTGTGTTTTAAAATATATATTTCATGCATACATAGAGAGTGAAATAATTCTTAGAGTACCTTACCCCACAGAAGGGACTATGGTGTGTCTAAAGTTTGTTTTCTTTCTTTCTTTCTTTCTTTCTTTCTTTCTTTCTTTCTTTCTTTCTCTCTTTCTATCTTTCTTTCTTTGGGGGGGATGGGAATACATCTGGTGATGCTTAGGATTTATTCCTGGCCCTGAACTCAGAAATTACACCTGGTAGGCTCAGGGGTTCATATAGGATGCCAATGATTGAGTCCAAGTTCATTGTATGCAAAGCAAACGTCCTACCCATTGTACTACCACTCCAGCCCCATAAAGTTTGTATTTTCCGGTCATTATCCCAGTCCTGACATTTGCATAAAACTCAAACTTGTGGACTTGAGAGATAATCAGTCAGAAGTCTACAATCAGAAATGTTTTGAAGATATTCAAAAGGGTCATAAAAGTGACGTGGAATTCTTTATAAATACTTCCAAAGAAAATGTTCAGATTTTTCTACATCAACATTTCTTTTCCCAACTCATTCTAGCAGTAAAAAAGCAGTGCACATAACCATGGAAAAGTGTACTGTCTAAAAACACAGTAGTTTTGCTTGTCTGTTCATATTTTTCAGTACTGGTGTTCCACATGAAAATGAGTTTTGCTTACTTTGTATAACCAGAAAGAGCTTTCCTCTTTGGCATGATAATATCACAATTCCTCTCTCCCACCAAAAGGTGAGAGTTAGATGAAAATTTTGGAACTACTCTGTAAATCTTGAAGTATTCCACAATTGAAATAGTCAGTTATCAAAATGTCAGAGCAAGTTGGACCCTGACTAAGGCTGTTGCTACTCTTGCACTAAATGCTAGGAAAAACCACAAAAACACACCAAAAAAATGCCCAAGAATTGTCTAAAAGGTGGCTTGAAAATAACTGCCCATGTTAAAGCAATTAAAAATAGTACACAATACAAATTGCATTTTAAATACAAAAATAACTCATTAACTTCATATTTAAATTCCAAGACTAATGCATGTTCTGGAGAAAGATAACAGAATATTTAAAAAAAAGAAAATCAGTAAGACAGAAGTATAAAAATAAACACTTCAACATTTAAATTGTCATTTGTTTATACCACAACAGTTTTATATTACCAATTATGTTTATACTGTTGTTAGCATTTATGCAGAAAAAAATAGTTAACACTCCAAAAATAGTACCATGCTAACCTTTGTAGCTATTTTATCACTAGATTAATTTGTGCATCAAAGATGCACGGCAGAGTCCTATAGTATTTCTAACTTAAGATAATTTTTTTGGAATGAAAAACTTACATTTGTGATTTTCTAAGAATATTCAATCTACACAAACAACAATATATTTGCATTATTTTTCACTCTTGTTTTATTTGAATAATTACATCATAACTATTTTAGTCCTCTTTCCCTCAAATAATTCTAAAAGTCGGGAAGATTTGTCATTTATCAGGCAAAATTTAGATGGGTATCTTCCCTTTTTGCTTCGCCTGATGCTTTCTTTCACAGCTTCTCTTTAGAAGTTCTGCATACATACAAGAAAGGGAAGGAAAGAAATGCAGTGATGTGTAATACACCCTACAGGTACCCTTGATCTAGCAAATTCCATACAATCATGTGACTGCTCCCAAGAAGTGAGAATTTCTAGTGCTTGCATCTTTCACATACTGTGTGTAGGAATCTATTCTGTCCTGTGTGGTAGGAATTTCAGCAAAGACCTATTTAATGTCTGCATTCTTGCCAAATCTTGTCTTTTTCATATTCAAGTTTGGTTAAAGTAAGAGAAGGATGTTCTTTTTCATATTCAAGTTTGGTTAAAGTAAGAGAAGGATGTCTAATAGTGTAAACTCACTTGCCAGAATCTCACCATTATTAGTATGGTAGTGCTGCAGGTTCAACTGCTTTCCTGGAAAGTAACAGAACTGAATAGAAGACATCATCCTACTAGAGGCCTATTAACAGATAGTGCTGACTGGAAAATAGAAGGGAAAAGTAAGTCGACATTTCTTTTTTCCTGTCTTTTGAGCTACCTTGACACTGTGACTTGCAATCTCTGACCAGGCCTGCCCTAGCCCAGACGATCTATTTTGTTTCAGTAATATGAACGTCTTCTGCTCTCATTATACGATACCCCAGGAATAAGGGGTGATTTTTGATTTACCATCTACTTATCCCAAATTTCAGACACATTTCAAGGCCAGAAGAATTTAAGTGAGAGGCATTAGAGAATTCACGGGGCACCGACTCTGTCTTGGAAGGGTTTACATCAGAGAAAATCTCTAAGCTAGTACATCCTCAAGTATCTCAGCACATTGCCTGCCCCATAAGGTGAAGGTATGTGTCTCTGAAATAAAAACACCGCATATCTGAGAAACTGTTAGTTCTCTTGTTTAGACAGTAATGTGACATCTTGTCCTACAAAAGTACTAAATTCTGTCTTATTTTCTTTTAGTCCGCAAACAAAACAGATAACAGAGTACACTCATATAACTATATAGTGTATAATGCAGAAAAGGGATAGATACACTTAAAACAATAGAAGATGTTCTTATTCAGAATTCTCAAAAAGTAAATTACAAAAAAAATCATACCTTATGGGTAAGATCTCTCTTTTTTTCCCTGTAAGAGCTAGTTTCTTTGCAGGGTGCTGGGGAAAAAAATGCCATTTCTGGACCTTCAAGATGTCTTTTAAATATTGTTTTTTCGAAAGGAAAAAATTTATCAGATAAAAAATTTATTTCCCTAGGCCTTGCAAACACATAAATGACAAGAATCATGTTAAATGCTAAATATGATTTAAACTAAGTATTGGGGGTCAGAGAAGCAATACTGCAGATAGGGGTATCTGCATTCGGGCTTGAAATAGGGGCTTGCCATGCATTCGGACAACCTGGCTTTAACCCATGGCACTACCATGGTTTGCCAAGGCCCACCACAGGAGCAATCCCTGAGCACAGAGTCAGGTATAAGCCCTGAAAACATAGGGTATGGTCAAAAAACAAAATTTAATATTCAATAAATCTAAAATATGCTTTGTTTTTAATTTAATTGTCTATATATATATGAAACAAAGAAAGAAGATAAGAAGAAAGAAAAGGAAGAAGAATATAAGGGGGTAAAGGACAAAATGAAGATGGGTGGGAAGAAGGAAATAAGCTAGAGTTGGAGGTTTGCCTAATTTGAATTTGGAAAATGTACATCCTTTTAACTCAGAGTTATTGTTCTTTTCTCAGTGATTGAAAACATTGAACTATTTCAATATAGGGAAAGTTTTTTTTTTCCTTGTCCATAGTTTAATTTTTCAAAAACAGTTTGAAGAAATAAATAATCTATCCAGTTATTCTGCTGGAATTATTCCAGTGATGAAACTTGCTTTAATGAACAACTTTGTAGTTTCAAATTAGGATTAGATTTACCTAAATTTTGATTTTCCAAAAGGAAAAATGACAAGAGCTTAACTGAAATAAAATTTTATATATCTTTATATTCCAAACTTTCGGAGACAGCAAAGAGGTGAACTTAGTTCTCTAGAGAGACCAGGTTTCTTCATTTTTGATCATTTAGTATGCATTGTTATATGGCAGTCTCTATATCATATCTTAATTCAAGATGGCGGCTAATGTTGCAACCCCTGTTTCTGTATTCCAGACATTAGAAAAAAACGGGACATAGAAGGGTGCTTCCTTCAGTTAAGTTGCACACATATTACCTCCTTATATCAAATTGGAAAAACACTTGCTCCATCCCAAATTAGTCTGCATGTAAAGCCAAAAATTGTGATCTTGATTCTTCCTAGCCATCCAAAGCTTATAAGAAGAAATTGATGTGTGGCCAGAACAATAGTATGGTGGATAAAGCACTTGCCTGCATGCAGTAACCCAGGTTCTATCTCCACAATACCATATTGTCCCCTGAGTCCAGCCAGGCATGATCCCTGAGTGCAGATCCAGAAGTAACCCCTGAGTATCACCAGGTGTGACCCCAAAACAAAAAATATAGGGAGGGGACCAGAGTGGTAGGAAAGTGGCCAGGGCACTTACTTTGTACATTGCCAAACCCAGGCTTATGCTCCCTAGAGCCCACCAGAAGTGACCCCTCAGTGCAGAGCCAGGAGTGAGAACTGACGACTACCAAGAATGACCTCCCAAATAAATAAAATAAAATTTTGAAAAAGAAAGGAAAAGGAAAAAATAGATGTATACTGAAGAATTAGTACCAGTCTCTGTCACACAGTTCAAATTATCTGACATGATTTGTTAGGATAATATTTTTATTTACTTTTATTAATTCCATTGCAATGTTTTCTAGAAAATAAACATACTTTTCAGTACAGTGAGGAATTAATCATCCACTTTATGAACGAGAATTCTACCTCATCTTTTTGCCTTTTTTCTTAGAAAAAATAATAAATCTATGATGCTAAATTCTACTGTTTTTCCATAGTTCTGCAAAATATATTGTAAATTTTCTAG